CTCGGCAACCTCTCCTCTCCCATCCCGCACATGCGATACTGCCAGGTCAGCTTCCTCGCGTCTCTTCCCGACCGTAGGGATTGGATCCCCAATTCTGCCCTCACGGCTGCATTACTTGTGCGCCTGGAGCATCCTAGGATGATTTTCGCTGCTTTCATCTGCGCCGCCTCTAGTTCTTTCACTACCTTCTTATTTCCTTCCCATACGGGGGGGGGGAGGGGTAACAATCGTTTTGGCGCCTTTGCTCGTAACACTTGTTTTCTTCGGATGCGGACGGAGACAGAGCTCTAGGGGGTGACGGGGAACGGTTGGCTTTGAGGAGGCTCATGAGACGGGAGGGGGGAATAGGCTTGGAGAATACGTCATTGTGTAAACTGCAGGTTTCGAGCGTCGAGGAATAAATGAGCATTCACTCTCGGATTAAGCCACCACTATCGCGACCTTTACCACAGAGGGACTGAATGGGACACACACTGCCCGGTCCCATCGTTAAACCACGCGCACCTATATTGCCCAAATGCATTGCAGATCGTTGAAAGGTCAAGCCGACCCTCGATGAATACCATCGACATGGAAAGTTGTAACAGCCGAGGTGGGGCTGACGTTCTGGGGGAAGTGACTCCGGGGTTTCGCCTCATCAATCAGTATCAAATATATGATTTGTTCTTTTTGGTTGGTCAGAATCAGGAACACCTCAGCTGTGTGAGCTGTTGCACTTGGGAAAAGTCACACCGCAGGGGAGTTACCTGTGAGTGCGTCCTGCTGCCTGCTTCTTACGCCCATCGTTCATCACCCTTTGATGGCACTGTGCTCTCATGAGCCCACTCCGGAGGGATCACTTGTACTACACTGTAGCATGTACTCACGACCACCGCTCTCGCGCACCTTTAGGCCGATATGCAACTTCTGCCCCTCCGCGATGGAAAGGTCTTTCATCGGCTTCACCGGACCCAGTGCCTCCTCCCCTTCTTCTTCCTGCCGCCCATCACCAAAGGACACGCGAACGAATTAGCGCACACATGCGCTCATCACTGGTCTATTGTGGACGATAAAAAGACAGCTCAGAGAATACGTTTATTGACACAGAAACAAGCACCAGATGAAAAACGTCAAAAACAACAACAACGAGCACGGAAAGCGTACAGGCAAAAGTTACGAAAAGTGTAAATTCGGCACGAGTGCTGTCGCCACCACCGCCGCCGCCACCCGCCGTACCTTAATGGCAGACGTCTTCTCTGCTCGCTTTTGTCGATCCAAGAAACGGACGAAATCATCGAGTACCGCCTTGAAATCGAACGCCGAGCTACGCTCCCGGAAACCTGTTTTTTAAGTTTTTTCGGTCACAGGAGCACATGCAGAAAGGAGCGCATAACACATTAGATCAAAAGAGCAAGGGGAAAAAGCGTGTGTGCGTGTACCACTGCTACAATTGCGGGCAACATCGATCGTAAAAAAAAAACACGGTTGATGGGTCCTACTCAACCAACAGCATGCGAAGCCTGACCGATCCAAGTGCTAGGAGAGCTATGTATCAACGAGATGTTTCCCAAAGCACAACCCTTTTCGTCGTTGGTAGCCTCTTGGGCTGTGGATTAGTCGGACTTGCGAAATTGGCCTCACACTTGCGCGTCCACCTGCATTCAAGGGGACGAAGCCGCATGGTGTTCCGGAACAAACCCAAGGTCTCCTCCATTTCCTCACATTCTTCCCTCATTTTGTTTAGGGAAAGGTTGAGGTGTTGTACATCGTTCAACGAGACATACACCGTTTGCTGTGGATTCGTTCGCATCCTCCTGCTGTGATTGCTGCAGGCGTCTTCGTGCTGCTGCTGCTGCTGCTGCTGCTGCTGCTGTGTGTGCCTGCAACGCTTCCATCCGAGTTGTGCACGTTATCTGCTCGGCCCGTCGATATCGAACGACAACGTCTTCGTCCGAAACCAACCACAAACCCCTCGAGGCGCGATTGATCTTCGACGGGACAATATAAAAAAATATATGTTTCTCTTTCACGGTGGGGATGTCTTGAGGGCTAACGGGGGCACCGCCGCAAGCGGTCACTACGCGGAGCGCACCTACGCCGACATAGGCGTGCCTCCCAGAAGCCTTGTCCTCGCACCGGAGCACGAAATAGCTGCAGGACGGACAAGGGGGACAGGGGCAAGGGAGGAGGTGGAAAGTGCAGGGAGGGTGTCAACTTGAAGCATGGGGGGAGAGAGGGAGCGAGAGGAGGGCCGAAGGAATGTTTGAGGACATCGGTTACGTGCCAAAACGATGTAGTCAGATCGTGTATCACCCCGCTCTCCTGCAACAACCAACGGCAAACACAGACGTGACTGCTTGTGACGGCGCGGTGTCGTTCCTGCATGGAGTCTGCGTGTGTCCGCCACGCTTTTTGCCTGATCTGCCTCTTTCGTCAATATTGCCCGTGTGCCTGGTCAGTCTTCTGCTTCTCTCTGTCCCTCCGCTTCTCCATTCAGACAGCAGGAGCCGGGCCCACCAACGATACATCACGTACAACTATTTCTATCTACGCGTACGAGGGGTCCCTCTGGAGTGGGCTCATGCCAGCACAGCAGTGTCGTCGAGGGGATGACACAACATGACATAAAAGCAGCTGCAGAATGAGCCCACAAGCTGACGCGTGTTTGGCTCAAAGAGCCCTGCGAACCTCAACGAACAAATCAAAAAAATGATACAAAATCTGTATGGTCTACAGCAGTCTTACGTATGCATATCCTCCATGTTCTTCTCACCGAGAGGAGTCGATGACGGACTCCACATACACCTGGAGGGTGCGGCCGCCGTCCAAGAGCACCTCGCACTGGGCGAAGAGCTCGGGCGTGGCTCCTAGTTCCCCCTCCGGCGGGGGCTTGAACAACCGCAGACAGCACGCGTTTCCCACCTGGGCAATCTTCAGCACGCCTTCTCGCATCACATGGGGGGCAAACCATCGGGGCAAAGGGGGAGGGGAGCTTGAACAGGCTCCGAGCTGTGCTTGCACTTCCGAATGTATCATGATACGGCCTCCGCACTTCTGTGTTATCAGCGATACCCAATGGAAATTTACAACTCGAAAGGACGCTACATGTGTCTCTCTCTCCCTCCCTTTTTCTCTCTCTCTCTATTTCTCGCTCTCTTGCGCTCTTTACCACACCGTATTTATACATGCTACACAAAGACTGTCTGCCCCCGCGACACCCACCTCTCTTCTTCCGTTCTCTTGCCCCGCACCATGTACAGTATGCTTCGCCTGATTGCTTCTGGCTAACTGCGAAGCAATCTTTTGCTCGTCGCGTCCCCGATCAATGGGGCGAGACTGATCGAGACAGACATGTTAATGCACATGCTGCCAAAACCCCGTGAGGCCGTACAATGGGCCGTGAGGCCGTACAGTATAGGGCAGTGAGGCCGCTGTATGCGACACAAAACATTTTGTGGAAGGATGTTCAAGTGTGACTACATTTGCCACGGTACGATGTTTATGTTCCAAGAGCACAACATCACTGTCGTTTCCAAACCGATCGACTTACTTTGGATCTATGTCGACACCAGCGTCACTTCCACACACACCAGTCTAAACTGCCGCTGGTACAAAAACAACAACGGCAGCAGTCGAATGTCGAACTGCTGTACTGCTGTAATCTAGACTACTGCTGTACGGTAGCAGACTACTGATCATACTCCCTCTGTGGGGAAGGAAGCAAGCACCTGTGAAGACGGGATTTGCCAGTCCCCACTCCTCGGCACGGTGCCCCGAAGACGCTCGCAACGGAGGCACCCTATACACAAACACCTCTTTGATCGTCAGTAAAGGCTGCTCGATCACCAGCTCCTCCTCCTCCTCCTCCCCTTGTTGCTGCTCCTGCTCCTTGTTCTGCTCCTGTTGTTCCTTGTTCTCCTCTCCATCAGCCTGCTCTGCTGTTGCACTGCTGCTGCTGCTGCTGCTCTGTACATCAGAAGCACTTTTGGGACCCTCTGCCATCTTCGACTGCAGAGAATGTAGACCTATGGATCCGAATGATGTGCAGCAGAGCGCAAACAGCAGCACACGTGTTGACACGGTCACCGGGACGCGTCTTGTAGTGTGTGCGGGAGAACTCGGCCTAAGCCGGGGGCGGGGATGGGGGACGGCGCTGGCGAGAAAACGAAAAAAGGCGTTTTGCATGCATCCATTTTCGAGAATTTCAGCAGAGAGAAAGCCCCAGTCACAGCAGACAGTCACGTTGCAGTAGGAGAAAGCAGAACCCCCCCACAAGAGCAGCAGCATCAAGCAGGAGTTTTTAGTTCGCTTCTTCCGCACAAGGCAGCATTGCGCTGCTCGAGCTGCTGCTGTGGCCACAGCGCATACCACGAACACGGGGATAGCGTGCAGCAAGAACATGATGCAAGCTCATGTTGTTGCCCTGGCAGCGATGGCTCTACCCGTCGGGGCCTTCTTTGTAATGTCGCCGCCGCCAGTAACAACGACCGCCAGAGGATCAGCGGCAGCGGCGTGGCCCATGGCACCGCCAACGATGCGCGTCTCCGGCATAGAGAGTACGCCAAACCCAAGCTCGTTCAAGTTTGACCTCGATCAGACCCTCTACGGTCCCGGCTCGGGCGCCACGGCAACCAGAGGCATCACCTACTCTCGCGCGGTGGTGCAGCAGCAGCAAGCAGAGGTGCCCGAGGCTATCTTGAGACTTCTCGAGATCCAAGGCGTGGATTCTGTGTACGCCTTGGCGGACTGGCTGTGCCTCAACAAGAAGCCCTCCGCCAAGTGGGATGCGATCGTGAGTATGCATAGTCTATGCATTTTGGAGAGGGTGAATGTGACAGTCCCGCGACCGAATTGAAATTGAACGTCCAGTACACATGCAAACAAGTGTGCTTGCAATGGCACCGGACTTAACCTTTGTGTGGGCTTGCTATTCGACGAGGATTCCCTCGAAGAACGTGGAGTTTGCTGCACGCGGCAAGAACATGTTGTCATCATCTGGTAGAAAAACCACACGCGGAATTCTGCAGATGGTGCACTGACAAACCGACACGTGGGCACACGCTTCTCTTGTGTATATTGCAAGCTTACAGATACACTGCTGTTGGGTGGTGATCGAGCGGACAACGGCAACCGCTGGCTGGGGGTGGATGACCTAACATGGAGGCTGTGGCGTGTGCGCGTCGTGACCAAGGGCACCTTGCCAGGCCATGATGTTACACAACACCGGAACGTGGCATTGCCTCACTCTCTCTCTCTCTCTCTCTCTCTCTCTCTCCCCATTCCTACCCCCCCCCCCCCCCCCCCCNNCCTCCCCCCCCCCCCCCGCCGGATCGCGAAACATACTCACAGAGGCTATGGAACAAAAACAAGAATAAACCCATACGTTCCTAGGTATTGCCTAGCAGTGATACGTGATCGTGTACCCAAGAGACGCGTTCTAGGACGCAGCATTTGGTTGTTGCATGTGATGACGAAAATGTGGCGACGATGACAACGACGACGTGTGGGCAGGTTCCCGCAGCGGTGAAGGCCTTGGGCGGGGCGGCCTCGTCCCTAGATCCTCTGACGCTACTCATGGCGTCTGGGGGGGAGGGTGGGTCCGCTTGGAAAAGGTCGGAGATGGACGGAATCGCCATTCGCCTGCAGGTGTCCAACGGCATCCCGATCCAGGTGCGGCGGCGGGTGAAAGTTAAAGATGCAACGTTGCGGGACAATACTCGAAAAGCCGACGTGGGTGTGCGCCCGTTCTTTTGGACAGTGTCCGCGTTCGGGGGCCCCGTTGCATACTACTTGTAAATTTCCTGCGTACATACCCCCAAAAACAGTTTCATGTCAGTTCGAATGGTTCCAGTATTCATCGGTTTGTCGTGCTTTTCGCGTTCAACTAACCTGCCCATGAGGGACAACACAGATTTGCGGCGTGTGTTTGCGCCGTTCTTTTGGGCAGCGTCCACGACAGAGTCCTGAGCCAATAAAGACCAATGGGCGCGTGTTGCCGTGCAACCTCTGCCTCTTGACGGTAGAGCGTTAAAAGTTAAAACCTCTCTCTCTACCTAAACACGCCGCAGGTGGAAGCCTGCCCCCCGGGCGGGACCCCCCTCCGCCGCAAGCTGTCCTCCCGCTTCGTGGAAGCCATGACGGAATTCGTCGCCGGCTCCGGCGACGAGATGGCCTTCTTCAAGGGCCGCGAGTGGCTGCCCCGCGGTGTACGGTATCCCGCGGAAGAGGGAGGGGATGATGAAGACGGTCACGGCGAGGAGCTGACCGGGGCGACGAGTAAGAAGACGGCCGCCGAGTTCGCCGAGGAAGCGCTCGCCGCGGCGGTCGACGAGGTCGAGCTGGCCTACCACGAGTCCAGGCTGCGCGGGGCGGTGCACGCGGCCCTGAACCTCCTGCAGAAGAACGCCGAGGCTGCTGAGGCTTCTGCTGCTGCCCCTGCTGCTGCTGCTGCCACTTCTGGCGAGAGCACCGCGGAGGTGAGGGCGGCGACCACGGTGCTGCAGCGATCCCCGGCCGCCGACAAGGGTGAGGTTGTCGCGGCCGTCGACACCCTCTGTGCCCTGGCGGGGGACGGTTCCAAGGACGCCCTCGACGCGCTCGTCGGCTTCGCCGCATCCGGGGAAGGCCCGGTCCCCGCCCGACGCGCGGCGGTGGCGTACATCGGGGGCGCGGGGGACGCCGCGGGGTCTGCGGGCTTGAAGGCCGTGTCGGCGGTGTTTCGCGGGGACAATAACGCCGGGGTTCGGCGCACCGCGGGGGACGCGCTGAGGTACGGCCGAGGGAAATGTTTTAGTGTGTGCCCTGTATAAAGGCGCAGGTCTTTAGTGTGTCGTGATATGCCCCACCCCTCCCTCTCTCTAGGCCGACCGCAGCTCCGCGGTTGCAGGTCAGTGGGGTATTACCGGAGTTTCTTTTTTTGTCCCCTGGCCTACGCAGTAAGGGGCGTGGGGTTACATCGGCAACTGGCGGACTTGATGCTGACCCCCTCCCCGCCCACCTTCTCGAGGACGCGTGGTCGAACAACTAAGGGATGCAAAACATGAGTACACCCCTCCCCTACTTGTATGAGTAGGATCTTAGGCTATGCAAGTCGTCCCTGAACTTATTGTGGCGAAAATGATCTCCCAGGAGGAAAGTAGCCTGTACCGCGGGACTTCGGAGATGATAAATTGGGTGGTCGGGGGACGTCTGGGCGTTTCCTAAGCAGAGCGCCCGGCACAAGACTGGGGTACTTGTGTCAGGAGGTGTGAACTTGGATCTAGACTACGAGCCTATGTTGGAGGGGCTATTTAGCGTCGGTGAGCCGGCAAAAGAACTGGAAGGAACCACAACCCCCGCCGGACACTCGGAATGGGAAGGCCGAGTATTCCGTATACCTTCCTGAAAAAACACGAAAAACAAGTGGC